CACTTTACAAGCTACCACTTAATGCATTATTGACATTTTTTTAAAAATGCTTGAGAGAAATCACGTTAATGAAGAGAACATTTGTAGTAATTTGGTGATAATTATCAGAATCACCAAATATTCGCAAAGGCTTCAACATTACGTGTTGGAAGAAAAGCAAAACACATTACTTTAATAGTCTGATATGCAAACTATGGACCATTCAATTACATGGCTTAATAATGCATACATGATGTGATCTTGTTATTGGGATAGAAAAGGGCTGCAGTAATTCACTCCAAAGACCAAGTGTGCTCTTACATTCAGTAAAATCCATTGCCATGGATCAGGGGGCCCTGCCAAACTACATTTAAGAGAATAAAAATTAATGACTGAGAATTTGAGCGTTAAATTAACATTAATTATATGACCTGCCTGCTGGAAAGATTAAATTTCTTACGCCCTAATTAGATAACGTCTCCTCATACATCAAACAATTTCCATTTCCAGATTTCAGGATTAAAATGCAGGCTGGGGAGACTTGCTCGGTCGCCGGCAGCCGGCGGCCTCATAGAGAGCTCCCGGCCCCGTCCCGCTCCTCCCGAACGCCGGGGGCTCCCCGCGGGTTGGGATCGGGGCCGGGGAGCAGCTCTGGGTCAGCCCCTCTTTAACTTGAATTTCCTTCACCCACCGCCCCGGATGTGGTGGCGGGGCGAGGCCGGGCAGGGCGGGGGAGCGCCGAGGGTGCGCGGGTGCGGAGGGAGATGCGGGAGCGCCTCGCCCGCCGCCCGGGGATGCTCCGAGGAGCCGCCCGGGCACCCACGCTGCCCCAGGGCCTGCCTCCATCGGGCGTCCCAAGGAGTAAGGACAAAGAGACGGGGCTATCTTCCCGCCTCAGGAGTGCAACTAATTTCAGTTTAATTGCTTTTCTCAAGAATAAAACCTCAGCGGTTCTCCTTCCCTCCCTCCCTCCCTCCCTCACGCAGGCACACGGGATCCTGCCTTTTCCTGCCCATGAGAAACCCGCTCTCCCCTGCTCCTTCACCCCTCCAGTCCCGCGGTCACCCACGCATAACCCACGGGTCACGGTCACCCCAAGCCGCCTGCTGCTTGCTCTCTCCCTCGCCCGCGTCCCCTCCCCGCTCCTCCGCCTCCCCTCCCCTCCCGACGGCGCCCGGGCCACGGAGCGGACACGGGCGTGTGTGGCGGGGCCGTGCCACCGGCGGGGCCAGGCAGCTCGGTTTCAGGGCTTCGGGTTTCAGGGTTTTAACCTCGACTTCTGCAGGGGAAAAATAAATTGGAAAAAAGGAAAAGGAAGGAGAAAGGGGGGGGGGGGGGGGGGGGGGGGGGGGGGGGGGGGGGGGGGGGGGGGGGGGGGGGGGGGGGGGGGGGGGGGGGGGGGGGGGGGGCTCACCCGCGGGGCGGAGGATGCCGGGGGCAGGCGACCATGTCGGCTCCGTCCTCCCGTCAGCATCCCCGGCCTCGTGGTGGGATACTGGCTGTGCCTCGATGCTTCTTCGCTGTGCCTTTGTACTGAGCCTCCCAGAAAGCTCCTGAAGAAAAGTTTGAGAAAGCCAGACTAAGACAAATGTTACTACCCAGAGGATGTTTTGGGAGACCAACTGTGCAGCAGAGCTGAGGTGGCCTTTGGTAGCTTCATAGTTAAATGCAAAAGTCATAGCAACCCCCTACCCACCCCGAAAAACTGTGAGAAAGAGGAATAATAATATCATAAAATGTTTCCTTGTTCTCACTCATTCAATAGTACCAGATAATTGCTTTTCAACTCAATTGAAACTCAGTTTCTGTTATTGCAGTGTTACTGCTCCTCCATGAGTTTCAGCATTTGTCAAAATCAGACATTTCTTGTCTATTAGTGTTCTTGCCCACTTTCTGGACTGGATTGATAACTGTTTATGTTTAATGCTATGTGAAGTAACAGCTTCGAGAAATGGAGTAGGTGAGGAGGCTGCAGAGGAGATAAGAGTAAATTGTTTCGTTCTTCGGCCCTGATCTCCAGAAACACCTCTCCTTCAGGTCTGAAGCCTAGGCCATGAAGTCAGACCAATGCTAAAAAAAAGTAATTATTACCCAGGAAGTTAATCATTCCAATAAATAACAAATATCTTTTATGTTAAATTTGATGGCAAATCAAGTTGGATAGACAGGGGACCAGAGGCATTGAGGGCAGTAAAATTATCTTGTAGCAGACAAGCAGTCTGCATACTTGACCAGCATCTTCAGCAACAAATTCACCCTCCAGTAAAAAGAACCGCCACCAGAAACAGTTGAAAATCACATTTAACAGAAGCAGATCCAGAAACCACACAAAAGAATATTGTGGCAATCAGCCTAAAAAGTAGCAACCTGCAGAGCTCCCACTGTTTGCCACTCTTTCCAGCTTTAGAACAACTGATTCTGTAGGAACTTACTTTCTGCCTCTGGTTAGGCTGGTGTGTGTTCGAACATATCGTCCTGTCAGCTTCAGTGGCAGAGCTGAAAAAAGAACTGAAGAAGCAGAAGTGACTGGGTAGTAGTGGTCTTCAGCTAAAACACACTGGCATTCCTCTGGTTACCAGGTTATCACAGTGGCAATGCAATAGCCTGTTTGTTATAAAAATCTAATAATTGGTCTACAAGTTTCGTATTGAGAGGAGGCTACAGCTGACATAATTGCTTCTCCCCTGAAATTGCAGATGTGGATGTGGTGGGATGCCCCTTTCTCTCTGCTGTGGTGAGTGACAGCCTAAAGTTTAATTTTAAGTAATTGTAGTCCAACTTACTTTCTCAGCTTTTTGTAAATCCAGTGGTTAGAAACAAGCTAAATCACTCCCTTGCTCTGGGTGCAGGGTGGGCAGGGACCATGACTCAGGCACTGCTACAGGTGATGTGACAATTGCACTTCTGCAGCTTTGCTTGCTTGCCAACACCAGTTGGAACAGCAGGGAGTTCTCTGCTTCTCCCACACACAGCCCATGAAAGGCAATCAGTCTTCACAGGGAACAGCTCAAATAATTCATGTACCATAATAATTGTATATTCCCACTAAAGTGACACTGAACAGTCGATCCTTCAACAAAAAAAAATTGCCTATCACCCTAGATGATTGCTGAAGTGTTACATTTCTTAAAAAAAACCCCAAACCCCCATGATGATATGCAAGTATGTAAAAATTAGTGGTGCTAACTGAGCCTAGATCTCCGTGGCTGAAATGGGAGTCTCTCTGCACATGAGCTGGGTGGCAGAAATGAGCCTGGATCCCTTCCCTTTGCCTGCTAGACCCTTCATACCATGAAGACTGGTTTGTACATCTCCCCCCCTCCATCTTCTGCTGCGCAAACATATGGTTGGTGTTTCCTCAGTGGGGAGCCCCCAGCTGAGAGTGCACCTGTGGTATAAACAGTAAACAGGAGTAAAGAGTTAACCTACTTATGCACACTGAGAGAGGTCAGTTTATCCACTTTTATTTACTGCTACACCACCGGACTGCACTTCAGCATAAATTGGTTCAAGGTGCCTTGTTTCAGCAATCGTACAGAGAACTGGCTTCTTAGTTATTCTGTAACTCAAAGGTGTGCAAAATCACTGCCTAACTGGGAATAAAATTATCATAAGCACAATTATGCCTGTGCTGAAAGGACAAGGTCAGAAGAGAGAATCCAGAATGTCAACAAGACTAGTTCATGATGGATTGTCCCAGACAAAGCTGTCTGATGTTATATATCACAAAAAGTTAAAAGATGATGTAATTTATATGTTATACTCATTGTCAATTCACACCCAAATCTGAGGAATGGCAAAATCCATTGTCGTACTTTCGGCCATATGGCATGTTTTGGGATGTGTGGTAAGGGTGGTTGGCAATACAGATTTTTTATCATTGGCATGTCAGTAAAGCATTTTGTGAGCTGACAGTAGCTTCTGTGTTTGGCACCAGTAATCCTGGGGGACCCCGTGTCAGTGTGTTTTCCCTGCCATGGCTTCACAACAACTTGCTCTCTGCTCAAAATAAAAGATCTTCATGCAGCCAAAAGGGTCTCTGACTTAGTCCTTTTGCTCCAGAATTTTGGCATTGCTGGTTCAAATCTTTTAGGAGGGTGAAACATGGTTAGGCTGGACTATTCAGGGGCAATTTGGCAGTCTAGTGGCTTCTACCAGTTCTCACAAATTTCTTGCAGGGCTTCTTGTACTCCTCCCGCACTATTACCTTTCTGGTTTTTTTTACAGTCAGTTTTTATACTATATAAACATATTTATCCAGTAACTCTTCCAATGCTCATACATTATTTTGAAAGAGGACCGTATTCATGGATGCTGACAAAAAATAAATGCATTCATCAAAAATTCTGCCTGTTTTAAGAGTAGGAGAAGAAGACCTCACTCTTTTCTTTGCCTCCTATCTGAACACATTCTGGTCATTACAGGTGGGAATGGGAGAGCTGCCCCTTGTTATAGTTGCATGATACTTCCAGTTAAACATTTTTGGTTATAATGTTACTAGATTGCATTTAACAAGGCCCAGATTTTCTACTGTCACACAGCACTTTAGGAATGAGAACAAACATTTTTATCCTGTAGATTTTAATCTACAGTAGGGAAAAGAAAAAAAGTCTATGGAGTGAGGAACAGTTTAAAAGGGACTGTTTTCAGATGTTGTGCTATATACATAGCATAACAGAGTTAGCTCTTCCAGACACGGCTGAGATCACCCAGCTTGATGCTATATGTCCTGTAGGCATGCTGAAGGTGGAAACTGGGGCCATTTGGAAATTATATGCCTTCACATTCTAAGTGCATGGTTGACACAATCAGCATGAATGGTTGTTTCTCTTTTCTAGGAGTGTACAGTCCTGGACCTTTCATTGGACTATATTTATCATCCTAGTTCGGTGTGCAAAAGACAAGAACATAGACACTGCTTCTTGATTTGAATGTAATTGTAGATAATGTATTATATCCATAAAGAAAAAGGCACATCCTACATATAGATCTGGTGCGATGCGGTGAAAGCAAAAGTTAAACAGCTTAAGTTAAACGCAAGCCCTCTTCCCTCCCTTGTGTTTGCTGAAGGTACAGAAAAGAGCCTAGCAGTGCACTTTAGACTAGATACCTAGAGGGAGACTGAAACTCAGGGTTGCAATACCTAATTTTTATATACCTGGCTCTCCAAGGGAATTCTCAGCCTGGAAGTGCACTCCAGGTTATCGCAATTTCAATCCTGATAAGCGGGCACCTTGAACGGGGCATGCTGGCAGGCCTGAGCCTGCTGATAGAAAATGGTAAACAGAGACAGTCGCTTGTCTCTTACCAGGAATTGCTCTTTGCTCTTCCCCGGGTAGCTCTGGAGAGAAGGATGCAGGCAGCAAGGCTGATGGTAATATCCCCTAACTCCTGACGTCTGCAGTGCAGGGGCCATTGGCAGCCAAGGGGAGGCACAGCTCATCTGCTGTGCTGCTGTGTCTGCTCTGGGAGGAAGTGCAGTGCCTAGGGTAACTCACTCAGATACAGCTGACTATACCACGGATGCTAAAGTTAAGCAAAATTAATGTGACACCCTAGTTAAAAAGCTAGGCATTTCCAGTGATAAATAACAAGCTTTGAGGATGTAAATTTTGGAGCATGTTTGTCTCCAGGGATGAATCAGTGTCCAGTCATGTGTATCTAGAAAGTAGAGCCAGTGTAGTTTTCCTTCATATCTGGTGCTGTTGATGTAAAGGATCAGAGCTTCTATTTGTGTTTTTATTGTGTTTCTGTGTTTGAATCAGAGTTGGTAGCAACCTCAGGCTGCACATTCAAAAAGCTTGAATCAGCAAGTAAGCCCAGGTTTTTTCAAGTAATGTTTTTGAATTCAAGCACCAGAGCAAAGCAGCAGTTTTCTAGGGTTTCATTTTCAGTGAGGCAGGAGGAAACTACCTCTCTTGCTATTAACTGGTTTGAATGGGACCCTGCAAAGTATCTACTGAAAGACAGTGTTCACATGACTGGGACACTTAGAAGGGATTTTGATGAGTGGTGAATGAAGGAATATATATGCATATGCACAGGAATATTTGTCTCTCACACCTGAGGTATTCTTCTCTATTAGTTATGGATGAGATGTCTTTTCTGCTTGACACTGCTGTCACTGCAGAACATTTTTGGGCAATGGGTCTGTAAGGCATACAGATAGAAAAAACCCTGAAAACCTTTTACAGCTAAATTAAGTATTGGTATCTCTCTCAAAACTTTATTGCATTTTTTTTCCTCCTTAAGTCTTCTACTCTTGGATTTATGTAATTAAATTACAATATCAGCTCTTGTGAAAAATAATAAATATGGTTTCTATACATCTTGATTCTAGAGGATGTTTTAAGAAACGATTTGAAAGTACCCTGAATTTGCAGCAACCAACAGAGAAATAGAATAAAAACCGCGCTTATTATTAGGAAAAATCTTTAAACTTTTAACTATACTTGTCATTTTTAAAGTTGACTTATGATTTAGATTAGACATTAAGAACAGCTTTCTAACTTTCAGTTGGAAAGCACAAGAATAGATTGCCTAGAGTGACAGTGGGAGGATTTTGAAAATAGATTGGACAAATGTTTGCTGGGAATGGTTTAGCTGCAGTCGATCCAGCCCGGTGCCAAAGGATGCACAAGTGACCTCTAATTGCTCCAGGCTGCGGCACATCCCGGTCCCTGAGCGCTGGCAGTGGCCGCTCCGCCGGCACCGGCTCCGCAGCCCGGCGGGCTCCGCCGAGGTGCCGGCTTGGCAGGGCAGGCGGGCAGAGCCCGTCCTTCCAGGAGGTGTGCGGAGCTGGGAGTGCCAGCGCTCACGGGAGGGCTGTCATGGCTGGGATTCACCTCTCGCCCCGCCTGACCTTTCTGCTTGACTTCTCGGAGCGTATTTCTGGTTATAAGCAGTTCCTCCGAGCAGCCGGGAGGGAGGCAGGGAGTCACCTTCTCTGCAAATGTTATACATGAATAAACACCTTCCTGGGCTTACTTAACCGCAGTCCACTGTGTGTCTGGCTCCCTGCTGACACACCATTAGCATCTGAAGCATCTATATTTCCTGAATCGAAACAGAGATAACTTATCATTCTCCAGCTGCTTATCTCAGACCTGCCCTGTGGATCTGGTGGAAAGATTTCCCCATTAGCACATAACAACAGGTACCTGATACTCACTTTGAAATGTTCCCTTTTTTTAAAAATAAGAAGGTTTGGGATTCTTGCCTTCTACTTTTTGCATCTTTTTTCCATCTCTATGCCCACGTAGGCCAGTTTATTAATGGAGTGTTGTCCCATATCTTGCTGACAGTGCTATCAGTTCCACACAAACTTGTGCCCTGAAGTTCTGGATATGGTAGCATCATCCTTGCATTGCAGTGGACAAAGTCAGTGTGCCATTTAAAAAGGGGTTAGGTATATGTTGAAGAAACTCTTCTGGAAGCTATAGGAATATAGAAGTATGGGAGCAAGCATCCACATGCTGTTTTCATATCAGTTTTTGCTCTCAACAAATCCCTGGGGTATCAAGTCAGCACTTATAAAGTACTATGCATAGATTGACTTTCTGGAAAAACGGTCAGAAGAGGCAGAAGTGCCCACAACAGCCAGTCTGATGGAAGGTGGGACTGTAAAGGGGCATACCCTGGAGACATCCCTTCTTCCCTCTTCCACAGAGCTTCACCCTGCTTCCCAGGCCAGCCAAATGTGGCATCTCTGGAAACAGCTTTTTAGGCAAGCTC